TTTGCTGGCACTTCGGGGCCAGCTTTGATGTGTGGACGGGGTAGGACGCTCTACGTTCCAGCAAGGGCGGTTCTAGGCACCGGACCGTCTTTCGAGTGATGGCCACTGGGATTACCTCGACCCTTCTTTCTTTGGGTCTCCCCGGGGCTTTCTCTATGATAGTCTAATTTTTGCCGATTAGTATCAGCGAAGTTCTCAAAGGGCGATCGAGATTAAAACGGTTCGCTGCGGGGCTGATGGCGGGTCTAGCAGCAGTCTGAATGGCGTGACACTGTGATTCCGGCCAGACGTGTTTGCAAAAAAAAAAAAAAAGTGCGTTTTTTTTTGTTTATTTAGTGTATTTGCATTGTTCGGAAGGAAGATTGTGCGTTTTGTTTAACTTTTACGAAGTTAAACAATAAAAACATACAAGCCCGCAAATGTTCCCAAAACTAAAATTGGTACACTACCCCTTGAAAGACATGTTTGATGGAATAAAAGAAAAAATTTAAAAAAAAAAAATATTTTTTCAGCAGAGTTACTGGTTTGTTCCTCTGCCGCAATCTATGGTCACCGGCGAGTTTTAGAATAGGGTGGTCCCAAACGTTTTGCGTAACCGAACAAATGGCGTCGTCGAGACGCGTCAATTCAAGAGGCGGTTGAGGCACGGCACAAACGCGGTGGTGACGACGCAATTCCTTTGAGTGCGCAGGGCTTTCGGATACGTTCTCGCTAATGCAGAACCTCTCAAGTGGTGAGCGTCTTTTATCGCTCCGTGGCCGATGCGACTGCCAGATCAGTCGTAATAAACACCGAAGAAAGAAAATACGAAGCAAGCAGCGTAAAGGACATTTCCTGCGTTTCTCATGTTGTCAGTGATTGTAGACTCACCGTAATGTTCAAACTTGTCTCCCAGTCGCCGATGACTCGGAGACTGGGTCAAATTGTAAGAAGGAATATAAAACGATAATTTGACCTCTGCCCTTCTACGATTAAAAGGAATATGTGAATATATTAAAAGGAACAGGCAGAACAAAGCTTTGTTTGTCGATATTTATCGACGGCTCTCCTCGATAGTGAGGCGCAATCGCTGACAAGTGTCCTTAGGTCGAGCTTGGACTCCCGGACCAAACTCTGAGCCAGCACAATAGTGCGTCGCGACGTCCACTCCTCTAGGCCACGAAGAAGGTGTTGTAAGTCGGTGCAAAAAAAAAAAAAAAGCTACTTATAGTTGTTTGTCTGCCGCCTCCGCTGATGCGCAGTCGAGGCCATTCCGTTTGCGCAATACTCTGTCGTGGGTCACATATTACGGGGCGGTAGCGCTTCCCGCAGCAAGGCGTTCGGATTTCGAGTGCTCTGGTCGGGTGCGTTTTCTCATCCCTCTCGGGAGTCGGTGAGTGGTATTCAGTAACGTTGCTCTTTCTGAGTCCGAGGGTGATCGCGTAAAGTGGCGACTGAGCAAAGCGTATGAGTGCTCCCTTTTGTATGGCTCCAGCCAGTGTTGTGAATATGTTGTATAAGCACCGGGGCACAAATATATCTAGGTTATTTCTAATAGCCTGAAAAAGAAGCTCCCGGAATTAGGGTAATCGGTTCAGGAAAAACGTGCCATATCTCCCACACTCAGGTGACATCACATGGTGTCATATTCGGGCGATATCCATACATTTGTGTTGAACATCTTCCAGAAGCATTTCTATAAACTAAACAAAAAACAAAACGGTTCATACTATGTCACGCTCTTTGCAACGAAAACCATGGGGCTTGTGTAAAAGGCAACTGTGCTTTCGGATGATGCATCACAATGTACGTACTATTGAATAAACCACATCACAATCGATGAACGGTGTCTGCAAGTTAATCGTTACCAGTAAACCAAATACAGCAGTTATTATGATTAAGAGTATTGTTATAGCCCTGTAAGAAGTCAAACATATGGTAAATTGGCAAAGCTATCATAAATTTAAAAAAAATATACGGTAATACATTAGTGTCCCTTTCGTAGAAACGCCTCCGTCCCCGGAAAAATCGTCCGTAGTGAGTCGTCCATAACGAATCAGGGACAAAACATACATAGTATCAATCGTAGCAACAACAAGAGATACATGGTGCATTTAGATAAAAAAGGACAAAATGTGAGTGTGTGCCTTCGAACTTACGTTTGGGTCCATAAAGCGCGATACGTACGCTGCTTGAATTGTGTGTTCTCCCCGTCTATGTGCTCGATGTAAGCGACAGCTGTTTCCAAGCCGCGGCGAGCTGCACATCAAATTACGAGTGGTCCCTCGTGTTCTTCAGATAGGGTTGTCAGCGCAAAGACTTTTTTTTAGGTTTCTTCCTAGTTTCTTTCGTGCTCAACTGAATTTTGTTTTTCAGTTGGGCAGTGTTTTGCTTGTTCACGTTTCAAAATCGCCAGAGTCTCTGACCACTTCCGCTTCTTGTCCGACATAGACTACTCTGCCTTCCAAGCAGTGCACCCGACCTCCGCGGTCGTTTCTTCCCCGATTTTTATCCTACAATTCCCTAGATTTCTCTAGATATGCAGACAACGTGTTCATTTGCTTCCATAACGATATTATATTTATAGAGTAGCTCACAAATATACTTCTGTAGTTGGGTAGCCATTCAAAGGTTAAATTTGTTTCGTTAAAACCTTTTCTTATAATCAAACTGACAGTGAAATCATTATGAGAAACTTGGTGAGCTCCTAAAACAAAGTGTATTTAGCTTGTAAAACCCATCTTAGTTTTAAGCGTGTTTTAAACACTCGGTGGGTAAGGACAGACAAAACGGTTATTTGAAACACTCCTGCTTTTAACATTTCCCAATCTCGGGTGTCAATCACAATTAACGAGCGACAGCCGAGAGCCTGCTTCTTGCCACGAGCATGTGGCTACCCTTCGATGTCCCATTATAAGCTCCTTCGGGATCACTCTTGTTACCACTGGAGATCATCTCAGGACACGAAAATATACAAAGAAGCCTTCTTCCCGCTGCGCTCGGCTGGCAAAAAGAGAGAAAGAAGAAATGGCATGTTTTAAAACCATCTGCAACCCATTAAGCGAAATTTCTAGATTTTATCGAATTTTCCTTTGCCTATAAACGATAACCGAGGCCCCTAAATCTAGCGGGCAATCTCTAAGGTTGCCAGAACTTTCTCCAAGTGACCAGAGAAGTGTACGGCCTCGCCTTTTATGCCAATGTCAGGCTTACGACCTCAAGGGGTTTTCGCTGAGGACTACTTGAAGCACAAACTCATCCCCCATCATTGCTTTATCGAGAATACAATTTGTGGGTCGAGAGATTCTCTCCCATTTCACAAACAATAATGGGCTTTATAGTGACCAGGGGGTCTAGCCGGTTTAGGGTTCATTCTTTGTTCCCGGCTGCAATATCTAGGAACACGATAACACGATATCTAGGAAGAATAGAATGCAAGCTGTAATGACCCGTTTTAAATTATAGAAAAAACAATCCATCTGTAGGTGCGCGGGTCTTATCGCGAGGCCGGCAGTGAACCGAGGAGTGCGCACGGTGCTCTCCTCAATCTACTAATATCTTGGAAGCATTTTGGACCTTTCTTGAACTGGTAACGCCTTTCATAATAATAAGACAAAATGACTGCATTTACCCAATTCGTCCCCAAAAGAACTGCCCATAGTTGTGATTCCGGATTCCCATATGAACGGGGCAGAATCGCATGGCAAAGATTGCTCCTGAAAATTTCGTCCAAAATCCGGGTCCGTCATATTAACGATGGGTTTTACAAGTTAAATACGCTTTGTTTTAGGAGCTCGCCAAGTTTCTTTTATTGATTTCACTGTCAGTTTAATTATAAGAAAATGTTTTAACGAAACAACTTTAACCTTTGAATGGCTACCCAACTACAGAAGTATATTTGTGAGCTACTGTATAAATATAATATCGTTATGGAAGCAAATGAACACGTTGTCTGCATATCTAGGGAAATCTAGGGAATTTTAGGATAAAAATCGGTGAAGAAACGACCGCGGAGGTCGGCAGCACTGCTTGGAAAGCAGACTAGTCTATGTCGGACAAGAAGCGGAAGTGGTCAGAGACTCTGGCGATTCTGAAACGTGAACAAGCAAAACACTGCCCAACTCCAAAACAAAATTCAGTTGAGCACGAAAGAAACTAGGAAGAAACCTAAAAAAACATATTTACGATATGACTGTAATACTGCAGCAAAAATTGGTGAGGCAATTTTAGCGTTGTTTATCTAAGTTGGTATCCTTCAAACGATTGCGGGATTACTCTTGCTGAGGCAAAGTTTGAAGTGTTTCCAAAATTTCCGAACAAAATAAAAAAAAAATGTTTGTTATGTCGTTATGTATTTTTAAGGCTTTGAAAATTTCCGGAAATTTTGCATACCTACTCGTGAGCTTCGGTAATATATCTATAGCGTACGTAAGACATTACTCTCCCCTTTGGGATTTGTGCTGATGCATACAACAATCTGAAGTTCAAATATTTTAGTTCTCTTCAGACAAAACGCTGAGAACTTGGTAAACGTAAGGAGTGACTTATGAACTTCACGCTGCACGATCCATAACTTGGTCTTCTCTGTTCTTATCCGATAATGCTGCAATATTTTTGAATGCAGAGCGATAAAGGGATTGCCAGAGCTCGCCCCTGGCCTGCGTATTTTACCTGTCTAAAGGTCTAGAAAAGTAGAAGGGACTAATATCCCGTAAAGAACTTGGAGGAGTAAATTGCTGTAACGTAAGAATGGAACGACGCAAACTCTGATGCTGAAAATACGCGTAGACATAAACACAAAACAGTTTTCCATATGGCAGTGAGCACGGAGAAACCTTAGGCTTAGTGCCAAAGCCCAAAATATTTCCTGTTAGGTTTAAGAAGATTATCAAAGTCCACATTCCCCAAACTCGCACCGTAGATCGCAGCATTTGGCTCTTCCAGGGACTTTGCGGCGGAGCGAACGCTCCAGAATTCTCAGAGTTTAAAACGACCTTTATTTCATGTTTCTTTCAGGTAACCGGGCTAATTATGGGTTTACTGTCGGAAAAGGCTCTCTTCTTCTGGGATTGGAGATGGTTGACCACAGCCTTAGTGTTCCTGCTGTCCTACGTCGTGCTGCGATTCTATCGCAAGGTGTCCAAATACCCGAAAGGCCCTTTACCGTTTCCCGTTGTTGGAAATCTCCTGGGTAAGCAGAGTTTGTTGATATGTGTTGCTTTCTTGGTAACAAGCAGAAATCTTATCATGTCGCGCTAAAACGTTTCCGTGGTCAAGTGGCACGGTAACGATTTACAGCTCACTTATCGATTCAGCTACAGTAAAGACGTTATCAAGCTGCCATAATTCAAACGGTAGTCTGGCCATTGAGTATATCAAATAACTTGTTTGGCGAGAGTTCGGCAAGCAGGTACCCACCTTGCTAAGACGGGTACATGGTTCCCAGACTATCGCCTTGCCAGGCTCCCAGGCAAGTGCATGGTTACTAGTAAAATCACTGAATGTTCCCAAAGTACCTAATTCCATTTAGTCCACTTACCGGAAGTGAATGCCGCAGAATCCTCTCCTGATTGGCTGGTTTACCCCGTGGCGGAATGGACCTTTTCCGAGAAGCGTTCTGCGCACGCGCGAGCGCCCGATGCCAAGCGGTGGAAGTCGGCACGAAAAAATCGAGGAAATTCGGAATGAGGCTGTAAATCGACGAGTAGAACACGTAATTGCAGCATATATATAATTGTGTTACACAAAAAAAGAAAGTGGACGGAAAGAAAAACACGACGTTTGGGTGGACGCTACGGATTTCCTTCTTTAAAGTCGCGCTAGGCCTACCTCGTTGCATTGGGCACGCGACGCTGCTCAGAGAGCGAAGCAACTGGTAACGTAGCTCCCATTATTGATTGGTAGCGCAGGTCACTTCCTCGATTTTTTAGTTCGCGCAGCCACCGCCTGGTGCCGTCGGTATATGGAAAAGGTCCATTTATCGGTCGGCTATATTGAGAATGGGCCCATAATATCAAAACACGAATAGAAAACGTTTCCGCGTTACCACAGGTACAGGGGTACGCAGAGGTGGGAGCCCTGAACATCGATGAGTTAGAACCGTACAAAAAAAGCGTTGATTTTTTTTTTCTTATATCAGGTAGCTTCTAATCTGGTTCGCCAAAGATTGCCTGCTTGTTTTCTCGCTCCGGTTGCGCCGGTGCTGCGTTTCAAACTCTACGCTTCAGACGCTAAGCCTAACACTCGACTTTGAGGTGTTCCCAGGCGAGAGAGGGAGACGACAGAGCGAGGAGCAAGTTACGCACCGCTCGGAACGAATAAAATAAAAAAAAAAAATAAACCAGTGCCGCCACAAGCCAGAAACGGGCATTGAAGACCTGCGCACGAGAACGAACACTAGATTCTACGCGCTTCGCTTTGACCGCGCAGGGCAGCGCCATATTGGGGACGGGTTGAGGTGCAGCTCCTGCGTCGCTGCTACTCGATTCTGAAACGAAGGTTTGGTAGTTTCGGTACTCTGGGAACATTAAGTGACTCTAGCCACTAGGATAGCTGGCACAACCTACGACCTATCATCATAATAGCTTTATTTTTCGCAATGAGGTACAGTGTTGGTGGAAGCTTGGGAAAAAAGCTGTTAGAACTGCTTGACTGGTCCCGTGGCCCCAAAAGTCAGCAGCGGGAAAAAAAATGCTAAGAGAAAAATCATATGATACATCAAGGGAGATGTTCAAAACACAAAAAAGTCAGAAAAGCAAAAGTATATATATCACAAAAAATGAACATATAAACATGTTACTCACATTTGATTAGTTTCGCTAAGATGTATTATGTTTCTAAGATAATGCGCAGATATATTTTCAAGCTCGATGTGTTGCGCAAAAACAATAGCTGAAGGTGGTTGGGAGAGCGAACGCCGCGGTTTGAAGGCCGCAATTAGCTTTAAAAAATGGGACTTTACAAAGTTCTGTGACTCTCGTTGGATATGCCTATATTTTTCCTTTTAAGTCAGATAAGCTCACAAGATGTACATTCATACTCATTTCAGCTATATATTTAACACCTAGGAGATATCAATACAAGTTAAAAATGTTTACTACATCTAGCTGGTTAAATAATATTTTCTGTTGGAAATTCCGGTGAAACATTGCGAATGATTCGTAGTATATTTTTTTTTGTAATAAAAATACCTTTTGTAGATTTGTATGAGTGGTTGTTCCCCAAATTAAATGGCCGTAGTGTGTGATTAAAATAGCGAGTTATATATTAGCAAGTATGTTCTAAAATGAAAGGTGAAGTCGTGAGCAACCATCCAGGCATGACTACCAGTGATCTACACAAGGCAGCAGCTGATGGCGTATTCCGGAGGCCGTAGAGTCGCGAACGGCTCTAGCTGCCGTTCGCCTTCTTCGCGCTGCCATGTTTGTTCGCTGAACCGTGAAGAACATCCTGAGCATGCGCAAAAGCTTTTATATCCGAATTATTAACCGCCGCTCATACGTTAAAATCCCAGTGACTTCACAATTTTCGCTTGACTAAAATTCTGTGGAAAATGCATATGGAGGTATGCGCGTCCAGGTATATATTCATATTGCGAATGAGACAGAGAGGCGCTTCTTGTGGGATCCCCTAGAGCGGGCTGTACCTTGTGCCACCTAGACAAATCTTGCAATATGAAGCGCTGAAGTGCCGGTAGGTATTATTTAATGTATAATTTTTAACCAATTTCGGTGGACGTAGATACATACGCGAAGCGATATATAGAGCGCTGCACCTTGATGTGAAGACTAACATTAAACTACACGATTTTTACACGTGCTTTACATAAAATGACGGGCCTTATTGTACTCCAAACAAAAAAAAAAGTTTAAGGATCAACTTTCGATGGGAACACAACAAAGACATTCGCTGTGATTTCCTAAGAATTCGACGAAGCATAAAGCTCCTGTACGTTTTCACTTAAATAAAATAATATGTGAAGCTGAGCAAGTGGTTTTAGATGCTGACGTCACACAATGTGCAGTCTGAAATAGTTTTTTTTTTGTGTGTTTTCCGTGAAGCCGCATTCGGCTTTGTTATTTGCCGAGATTCTTCTTTCGATCACTGCTATTTTTTCTCTGAATGTTTAATAAGATTCCGAGCGCACAAACATTTGTTTTGGTTTTTGATTGCAGTTTTATGACCAATTTGGCAGACGTCTCTCCGTTCCTGAGTTATCAACTCAATCCAATCGTGCCTGCTCTAGATAATAGCGGTAAAATTCAGGGCGTAGTTCTGCACTGGCGGTCTTGACTAACCTAGTATTTGGTTTAATCATGGGAACACGCACTTATTCTTATACAACCTTTTGCCTCTGCTGAAATTATAATGAAATTTTAAAATTGAAACCATATTACATAATCAAGGAGTCATAAAATAGAACAAACAGTCGATGGGAGGGTTGACAAAACATCACAAATTCTTCCTCGCTGTGCATTCACCATTCAATTTCTGCTCTGTCGTACTAGGAATGCTTTCATCAAAGTCTAATTGTTACAATTTCTTGCGCTGCACAGAGTAAATTACAGAATATAACAAGAAAACGCAATAAGCCCCCGTTCCCTCTTTCTTAAGATGTTGGTGTGTAAAGTCCCGACCTATCAGAGACGGGTGCAACAGCTAAAGCGCCCAGCTTTATTTATTGCTCCCCACCCATCCATAGATCATGGTCTTGGAGGTGCTGCAGAAACTTTCGCATAGTGCAGATGGCCAGCAAATGCGTTTCTTGCTGTAACATGCATTTGATGTGTCGTATGTCGCAGCCCTGCGGAATACCAACCAGCTCTACAAGATGGCCGAAAATTGGGCTCGGCAATATGGGGACCCGATCACGTTTTGGATGGGAGAGAAGCCAATGGTGGTGCTCAACACGCAGAAAGTGGTCAAGGAAGCGTTCGTTGAAAAGAGGCACGAATTCGCTGGACGTTTTTCCACAAAAATGGGTGAGAGATACGCGAACTTTGGTTGCCATTGCATATCTAATACAGCGTCGATTGCTCACATCACTTGACCTATTCACAGTGTTCCACGTGGTCTTATGAAACGTAAGGGAACTCCAACGTTTACGCGATTTATTCAGTTTGATTTCCAATAATATTTTACATTATTAAGCGTTCCTTTATTTTATTTTCATTATTCTTGGTGGTGTTATAAAGACAATTTTTTACACAACTGGATATTTCAGGATAGCGTCAACGCCAACTAGTGAGGATATGAACGTTTCTTTGAATCATGATTTGCAACTATCAATTACATATAGACTTCTGATCATAATAGGGACTTTTAGAATGTTGTACGCAAGAAATTTTCCTACGCAAAGAATGGCGTCCCCGCCACCGCGCACGAGCCGAACGCTTTGCGCGATTTCGCTTTGCGTGTGCTATTATAGCGTAAGCAAATTTGAGGAAATTGCGTTCGCAAACAAAGAGTTTTTGAGCTCCTTCAAGGAGGATTTGCAATGCCCAAGAAACTGGCTAAACGGCTAATGTCTAGACAAGCACAATTAGAAAATGGCGGCTCCTTGGACCGCGGCTACAACCTCTTAGGCGGACGTCGTAATAGCGACGTCGGCTATATTCTCGTGACTGCGTTTTTAAATACAGGAGTACATTGCACTCCTACGGGAGGCGCACCTTACAAGCGGTTTGGAGGACCCAGCAAGGTGAGCAACTATCGCCGGAACCTTGCCGCTTGCGACGCGTGAACATTCCTCGGCACAGGTGCGGCGGGTACGGTGTACTAAGATCAGTACACGAGACCTTTCTTGCCGAGGAGACTCAACTAGATAGAAACAGTCGACTTCTCCCGTCGCCGTCGCATTCTCATATTTAAACGAAGCTCAAACGTTACTCTAGACCAAAAACGTATTTTCGTTTCTCAAGTTATAGCATTTCCTGTGTGAAATAAATATAGTTACTGGGGTTTTTCCGTCCCGGCGGAGGAACGTTATTCTAAAACTGTTCTGTGTAGCGTGCGCTAACGCAAGCGCTCAATTTATCGCTAGCGGGCGCTAAAACTGCGTACGTTATTCTAAAACTCCCTAATTTTCAGAGGTTCTCCTTTATTGCTTTTGACAAAATATTTTTGTCGCGCACTCAAGACTTTTAGTATATGATTAATCATGGCCCTGGGCATTTTTACATTTCACATGTTTCTACACTACACAACAAAACGTCTAGCGCGCTACATTTCCTTCACAATCTGTATTGATGCTTCACTCGACCACATAATGGTATATTTACAAAATTACCAAGTACTTTGTCCTTACTCACATAAGAGCTCGGCACTGGATGGGAACATGGGCAAAAAATGATAGCTAAAGGTAATTTCAAGTACCACGTGCACTCTAAGTGAACACTTAAAATAACTTAGTTATTGCTTCCTAATGTCACCATATTTTTGAATAGTTTCTGGCTGGAAGCCGTTATATAGGATATTTTCCACACTCAGGGCCAAGGATGAGTTACTTTAGGTTCACCTAAAGTAGCTCCTTTTAGGCTTTCTATAAGTTTGTAGCTTCTTCGAGGCTCTGTAGAAGCATGTATATATCTGATAATGGAATGCCGGCAACCAGTTCACGGTTCCACCAAGGAGACTGTCTTGAAAGGTCTTGCAGAGGAGCTGGGGAATTACTGGAACCTTCATACTACAGGGTCTTACTTATCTAAAGTTTCGAAGATAACAGTAACGGTTCAAGATTAATATTTTTGTTTACTTCTCAATTTTATAATTTTTTTCCTAGCAGACGAACCTTTAAATTATTTGATTCGCAATGATTCCTAATAATATGAGACTAGAAAGATTAATGTTACAAGCAGTGTTCGAATTTTATTTTTTTTAGCTGAACTCCAGAGGCAAAAAAACAACAGCATCCTAATGGAGGACTACAACCCAACATGGAAGGCCCTCAGAAAGGTGGCGCTGACTGCAGTGAGGTAGGCGAAATAGGTGATTGTACTTCATAGCACGGTAATGCATTAGACGCGTTGAACGACTTCGTAAGCAAAGGTAACTAAAGAATAAAGAAACGTGAACTAAATGTTAATTGGCGCGTTTCAGCATTTCAATGTTTACCGAAAACTTAAGATGAGTCTATGGTATATGTAACGGATATATTTATAGTAAACAGAAGCTGGAATATTAATGAACCCCCACAACCTGGAGAGTGATAGCAGATGTGTGCTTTAAATACGGTATATATAGTCCCAGATAATATTAAGACGGCAGGGAGGTGCTTCAGTTGTCCCGCCCCCTGCGTGGATGTCCCACCTTCGACGACGCTTAGGTGTTTCGGGAACCTCGAGCACGCGGGCCCACAGCCAAAGTACGCTGCAAGCAATGAGCGCGTGACCCAGGCTAGGCGTTCAAAAAGCCACGTGCTATCATTCTTAATCTGCGGGTTACAGTAGTTGGAAGCAAAATCTCACCTCGTTTACTCTTGAAGAAAATGCATGAAAAAAAATACAAAGGTTTACCAATACCACTTGAATTGTGCGATACTCAAAAATGTGTTAAACAGTATCGAGCGAAAAAAAAAGATCATTTTAGGCGTAAGCATGTCATCAAAAACGGCAAGTAAAGCAGTAGCTTTTGGGTCGAAGCATCTTTGCGTACATTTCAGCATGCAAAGTCTGCAAGGAAAAACATAAAAAGCTAGAATCTTCGTGTTTACGGTAGCGATCTTAATTCTATTATAAAGCTATGTTTGCGATTGCTTATACATTGTTTATATTATATTAATAATTTAGTAGCGCAACACATTAGTTATAGCAGAAAAAAAACAACATATTGAGTGTACTTATTTTTGTTGTAACTCTCGGAAAGGCGGATATTTTCTAGCAGAGCCTTGAGCGATCCCGAGTAAGCTCGCTTGTTTATAACAATGAGTTTACGCAGAGGGTATTGTATAGCCAGCTTGATATGTTCTGCTGTTACTCGCAGGAAGTACGCCGTGAGCGACTCTTTGGAGAATTTGTCCTGCGAGGTCGTGGACGCTTACGTGGATTCGCTCAAGGAAGGCTCTAATATCCTGGACTCAAAGGCTCCGTTCCTGTACATGCTCTTCAACATCATTGGCATGTCTGTCTACGGAACAAAGTAAGGTTGTGCCCTGAAGTCATGTAAGCTCGAAACATGTTTAAACTTAATTGTTCCTTTCCCCTAAATGTTAGATTATTATACAAAAAATACTAATTGGTCAGTAATCTGCTTTACGTTTGTTTTGAATGGAACACTCAGGGTTTATTGGGTCAGCGCTTCATTAAAAAAAAACTATTTGACTGAACAAGAGCGATATTTCCGTAAGTTGGTACGTTGCACTATGCATTTACAAATATACATGTGCTAATTAATCTAAAACAGGGTATACATGATTAGGTGAAAAAATTATAAAACTTAATGAAAAACAGTAGGAGTACAGGCAAGCGACCGATCTTTAGCGTGTTGCAGCTTAACCCGAGACTCGGATGCGAAATAAAAAGTTAAAGGAAGAAGATACAAAAAACCAAGGAAGGAGAAAATATCTCAAACGCAGCTGAAACAATTATTAAGTCCCACATCCCTTGCGTATTCACAGCCACAAGGGCGCCATTCACACAACTTGCCCCTTTGCTACGATACAAAGTTCCAGAACACAGAAAATACCACCACCAGAACAGAACAATCTGATGCCCCCTCAACGATAAAAAATATAACATCACGCCATACCTTCAACAAATGTTTATCCTTCTGTAACCTCTGGAACCACACCCCCCCCCCCCCCCCCCCCGTAAAACAACATTGACCCTGAACCTGAGTACAAAGACCAACTACCTCAAGGAACAAAAAAAAGAACAGAACTATGAAGAGTCATCCTCAAATATACCAATCCCGAACACCAATCTCAAAGGGCAGACACTCTGGACTTGCTCTAACAACGTGATATCGCCTTTTGCTCTTCAATGATAAGCAAAAATGGGACGATTTTTGAAGAACTAAGGGCGATAGCACGTTAAACTTAAATGACGGCATACCCAATCATGTCCTATAGATGTGCGCTGGAGCAATTTCACCTTTTCTAGTTAATATTTTCAACAAATCGCTCTTTTCTGGCAGGCTGCCATCGTAGCAGAAGAGTGCAAATCTTGTGCCTATTCTTAAATCAAGCAAAAAAAAAGGCCGGGTTTCTCATTACAGGCCAATCTCCCTAACTTGTATTTGGTCTAAATTACTCGATAATATAATATATACAAATATGGTAAGCCACCTTGAGTCCAATCATTTCTTTTCTATGTTCCAGCACGACTTCCGGTCTGGTTGATCGTGCACCCGCAGCTGACAGACTTTGTACATGATCGTTCACTTTCACTAGATAAAAACGTTCAGGTTGGCTGCTTGCTACCAGACTTCTAAAAGCATTCGATGAGGTACCTCACTCTACCTCGCAGGCACAGACTTTCGTTCCTGGGCCTCCCCGCCTATATTGTTGGGTGGATATATCATTACTTCTCCAATCGTACAGAGTGTGTCGCCATTGGCGGTCAAACTTCCTTGTATAATGATGCAACCTCGGGTGTCCCCCTAGGGTTCGTTCTTTGACCACTTCTCTTTTTAATATATATCAACGACATAGCGCAAAATTAAAAAAAAAACAGCGTACGTTTATATGGTGCTGACTGCGTTATTTATAGTTTATAGACAGGTTAAAAGCGAGAATGGTTTTATTTTCGTTCAGTCAGGCCTCAAAAATATAATGAATTTGTTCGACGAATGGAAATTATTATTAAATATTAATAGATGCAATTACGTTAGATTCAACAGAAAAAAGAGGCCATTTAAATCCAGGTGTTAGCTGAACGGTGCCGTCCTCCGGGAAGTTACAGATGTCCACATATTTAAGAGTTTATTTTAGCAGCGATCTATCCTGGTCTAAACACATGAATACAATAACAATTTAGGCGAACCGAGTTTTAACTTTTGACAAAGAGAATTTCAAATGAAATTCCGTTTGCCAATGTTTGTCCATATTAGAGTTTAATGTCCAGTGTGGGACCCATATTACCTATATTTAACCTAAAAACAAGAAGCCATGCAAAATAGTGCAGCTCGTTTTGTAGCACATAATTACGATTTTCGCTCGAGCGTACCAAATAAAACAAAAATAAAATAAAAGCCATTATATTCGCGAAAAAACATTTTTTCGAATAAAACTTCTCAGAAATATTTACTTATAACAAGCAGGTATAATAAAGTATAATTATTTCCATCATCCTGATTACTATTTCTCAAAAGTGGACCATCCGTTAAAAATAAAAATAAAATATTTCAGGTGCGGAACTGAAATATTTAAAACGCCTTTTTTTCCGAAATCAATTATCGATTGAACTTGTCTTCCAAAACACGTAATCACTAAGACTTGGGATGAAATTTTTTCTTCTTTGTTATTGTACATGCTTTAATATTGGTGTGTTGCAGTCTATACCTTCTTTACTGTGTTTTGTGATGTTTGAAACAGTCGTATTGCACTTCCTTTATGCACCGTTAGTCTCTTACTCACACACTAGTTTTAATTCTCAACTTCTTTTATTTTCTGTTATGTGTACCCCCTCCGAAATGCCCACGTGGCAATGTAGGTTCTGCGTAACCAACATAAGCAAATAAATGAAGAAATAAGTCTCAACGTCGTTGGAAGGTCAATGAGAGAGACTTCCCTAAGCGAGGCAGGGTTTAACGGTGAGTTCATTAAAAGGCATCTAAATTTACGCACCAAGAAGAGAAAAGAAAAACAAAAGAAAATCATGTGGGAAAGACGGAATGCTGTGATCCCGTATTTTCATGGAATTTCAGATTACTTGAAAGCCTGTGCTAAGCATTTCGGGGAGAAGACTGCATTAGTTCCGATTTCAGGTTGAATTAATTAACTTCGTTTGAAACGGGAGTACATGAGTATATAAACGCTCACGATGATAAATCAATTCATTGCAAGCAGAGTGTGATATAGGAGATTCAGGTGACATATAGCTTTTTATATGTTGGGCAAACGTCGAGGTGTGTTAATGATATAATAAAAGGAAAGAAGAGAAATAAAAGGAATAGCGCGAAGAATTGCACTGCTTTGTTGTCAGGGATGGAGATAAACTGTAATACATAAGGAAGTGAATGAAAGCAAGACTGATAAGCGAATCCATTCGAAAAAGGCCGATCGGGAGCTGTATCGGTCAGCCATGGTGCCGCTAGGGAACTATGCGAAATATTTTTTGAGACAACAATTTTGTGTGTATGTGTGTGTGTGTGTTTAAGCATCTTAAAAGGTGAAGCGCGACAGCACTTTGTAAAAGTGAGTTCAGAGTGCCTGCCTCTTTACCTTGGTGTTCCAAATGGTTAGATTTTGAAGAGGTTTTTTCCAAGTTTGGTTATTTTGTCGTTTTTTGTTGAGAAGAAATTGGGCTTTGTACTCAAGTTCAGGGTCACTATTGGTTCGCAGGCAAAGTGTCAGATGCTTCACAAAGGATAATGTTTTGCTTAAGAGTAAGCCGACTTAAGAAAACCTGCCCTAGATGTTATGTTTTTGTTCGTTGAGGGCGCATTTCATTGCCCTCTTCTGGTGATGTTCTTTTGTGCCTCCTGTTGTTTTGTCGTAGCAAAGTGTGAGTGATGTGGCGTGAAAGCTTGTCGCTTTGAGTATATATGAACGCTGGACTCAATGAATATTTTAGCTTCGTTTGTGAAGTTCTGTTGTACCCTGTTTTCTGCGCTTTCTAGTTTTAATTTTGTATTTCTTACCCCGATCTTGGGTAAAGTTGCAACGCGATGAATACTTATACTGAAGTTATCACCAGAAGGTTTTGTGGTAGTTTTATTTTAAAATTTCCACGTAAAGCGTTTTGCGTCATTGGACACACATTTAAAACGGGGTGCACTAAAACGCGCGGTTGAAGCGACGGTTCGTATATTAAGAAAGGAGCTTTCTTGTAGACAACATTTGTGCTTCGGAAAACCAGACGATTCTGTTTAAAGCGTTTCTTACTAATAATTGAAGCTGAATTAAATTTAATTGAGTTAAACTAAGCTGCATTAAATTGACTTGAATCAAATAGCGGTGAATTGAAGCAAGGACAAAACCTATACGCGTGATTCTGATATTCCTGCCGTGTTCTCTTTAAAGATGTTTCGCAGCGAACGCATTGCGTCAACGGCTCCCCTAGCACTCGCTCCTTTGCACTGATAACAATAACATATCGTGTGGCATATACTTGACACTTCATCATACCTGAATACATATCACAATTGCAAGGAAGCTACATATTTTAAGTTATGAACGCTTTGGCGCACAAAATTCGACATTTGTCGAACATCCATGAAATTTGTTCTCTTATGAGCAAGAAAACAATGAAAAGTAGCATTCAATATGCCATCAAAGTCTCAGGCTGCCTTTTTTGCTAAAAGAAAAAAGAGATAACTCTAAATTACCCTTTCCTTGTGAGCCCAAAACTATGCCTACCATATTTCCACGTGCCTTCTGTTTTCTGGTGTATACTTCGTTCCGGCGCAGCCGACGCTACGAGCTAATAGGACCGATCGAAGTTTCAAATGCGCAAGTCACTGGGTCTCCCATGTAGGTGATTGGTGCCGCGATGATAGAGCGCGCACATAAAATGACGAACACCAAGTCGGTGCGCTTATGATCCTGTTTGACTTGTCACATCTTCCCAACATTGACTGCGTCCTGGCTTAAGTAAAGCGAGGAATAGGCTTTTGTTGGATTTGACTTCTATGACGCCTGCTTACACCCCGTTTGTGCTTTCAATCAAGGTTTGACAAAGAAAGTCCGGAATTGGCTAAGCTGAAAGCATTTAATCAGGAATTCTTGGAGAACGCTCCTAATGGACTCCCGAGTGACATCGTTCCCTGGTTGGGTGTGCTTTACCGTGGGCGTGAGAAAAAGATGGAGATTCTCTTCAGAGAATTTTGCGAGTTGCTCGATGTCCTGTACAAGCGAGCTGCGAAAACATACGTCCCCGGTACGTACAAAACCTCTTCATTCATTTTTTTTTCTTTCTTGATGGGCGACATTTTTTTATATTTTTCATTTTGATTAACTAGGCTAGACAAACGCAATATAAACACTAAAAATAATGCACTCACAAAAAAAAACGCAATTTCAGAGACTTGCACTCACGGTTGCACATTTTCACCAGCCTTATATTGGTGATACACACCAAAAAAGATGTCATTGGGTGGAACGATCAGTTTTAATTTTTGAAAGGTGCGGAAAGGGTATTGAAAACAGTGTTCCGATTAATTGAGCCGCAGACTTCTGTTTTAAGAGTGTTCGTAGCACAAATATTCGCTTAAAGCGGCTCTCGCGTAATTTTTTTTAGGTGGCCATGAAAAATATTTATTGCTTGTACCAAATATTTTTACTTGAAAATAGGGTCCTTACGTTACGTGCAATATTCAATATAGAGAATAGCAAAATATTTGTAACGTTATTAGGTGCGAAAACGGCTGCCCGGCAAAGAAGGCTCTTTGAAATGTCGGCTACGTAGGCGTGAAGCTGTCAGCAGGTCGTCATTTTTCCTTTGTGAGGGATGCTCTTGACCACTTCATTTTCCTTTGTTGTGCGTGTGACAACTGCTTTCGTGGTCGTCGCTTGTAAACTTGTAAATCTGCTGCCCCTAAAGCGTATTTGTAGAAGGCTACTAAGATTTCCACCATCTTATTTTAAGTTGTTCACCCGTGTCTAAGTTGCGTTGCTGTAACACAATACGGATATGAAGCCGGTCCCTAAAACAAGATGATTTACGCCTTTATGGTTAAAAAAAAAATGTTAGAGTGCGTACATTCCTGAAAATGCTGAAGATGTGAACGTTGTATGTTTCAGGCAAACTCGACAACTTCACTCACTCCATGATAGCTGCAAGAGACGAAGCCATTGAACAAGAAAAAAACGACGCTCAGCACTTGACCCAAGCCAACATGGTTCAGATCATCATGGACATTTTCGGAGGTAATTACCACCAAGCACACTGCTGTTTTGAGCAGTTACTAAGCTTAGTGTTTAATATTCTGCAAAAATAAAACTATTTGGTGCGAGGTGAAGGGAAGCATCCGTTTAATATACCGGTTCGAATGTTGATTTCGGTTTACTTCACGATTAGGAATCAAAATTTACGAGTCCGTTTACTATATTTTCAGTTTCACACCTGACATTTAAGATTGCACCGACTCAATTTCATTTAATCGTAGTATTTTGTGATGGCAATTTAAGAGATTTTATTATCAGCTGTTTTGCACTTGTGAAAACTATACTGTCAGAAAGCGGCACATGACTGAAGAGTCATTCAAAGATCAAGGCTCAGCAGTTGCTTTCTCGATGAGATAATTGACGGACTTAATCGAATGTGTTTTGTATTGTATAATAAGTTGCGGTGTCATTGGAGTTAAACGTGTTATCATGTATCTTTCCTCAGCCGCTACGGACACTTCATTGGGGGTGCTACAGTGGCTTTGCCTGACGATGACAAGGAAGCCGGAGATACAAGAGAAGATTAAGAAGGAAATTGAAGCCAACCTTGGTGAATCACACACTTCGCTTTCTTTAATCTGCTTGCAGTTACGCTGTCTGAGGACCTCAGGAAATATTTATTTTTATGTAAGCAAACCTCAAGAGATAAAAAAGAACAGACGCTGCTAGCTAAGGCCTACATCACAAACTCTGTCTGGCTGAGATTAGTGGTGTTGCATGAGCCAGCGCACCAACTTTTTCAAATATAAAATTGTAATGTCGGTAACTGCGTTAAGTACCTCAACAATTTTTGGAAGTAAAACACTAGTGAAAAACAAAAATTCTGCGTGCCGTCCCGCACAATATTCGGACTTGGCTTACACGTGCTGCTGAAAATTAAGTTGGCAAAGACCGAACCCTTAAGAGACGTTTCATATCTCGTGCCTTGAAATCTGAAATAGTACGAGCAATAACGTTGGTGTAGAACACAGAGGTGATCTGTCCGAGGATCTCTCCAAATGACCGAACTCCGACTATGCCCAATGGCGAATTCAACAGGTCGTTTTGGTCGACTTTTCTGGAGCGCGCCCATTTCACTGGCCGATCGGGATCGAGATGTTACGTGTCACGCTCGTAGTTTTGAATCAGTTCTCAGTCCAGATCTCGTTCCGAATCCGAGAAACGCCGCTTCGCCGATTTTGGCTGATTCGATGGCCTGGCGAACCCTCGCCGCCCTCACCTGACTTACTCTTTCGCGCCGGGCATGACCGCGGCAATGGGATTCCCGAAAAGGTGAATGACGGGATGGCATCCGCCCATCGCGGAGGAGTGGCCATGTTCTACGAGGGATCCGGAGGTGGAGCGACTCCGTTCGGATCGCGTGCTCCATATCGGATCTGGTCTGCTGATCCCACCGCGCTCTAAAACGACCATGGAATTCATAAAAAATGTGGAGTGCTCTGCAAATGTTTATTAGCATGGTATTTATTGTTAGTTGTCTAATTTGTACTGTCTAGGTTGTAGCGCCAGCCGTGATCCATTAACGTTTTGTGACAGGTCAAGATCGGCCCAGCCTACGAGACAAAGAGAAGCTACCTTACACGCACGCCTGCATTTTGGAGGCTCTGCGCAGGTACCCTATAGCTCCTCTCGGACTTCCACATAACACGACATGTGACACATCAGCTGGTAAGTGTGCTTTGCTACTAAAAATTACGATTGGGTTACACATTCACGGGTTGAATATAAAAGACACCATGATTCTAAGGCGTTGTGTTGAGTTTACTATTCAAGAAAGAATCGGCGTTCATTCACAAAGCTCTAGCCCGTAATTATGCAAGAAAGCACTCCATCGGGAAAATAGCCGAGCATGAAAACAAGCATCCCTCGAGCAGTTTATGGTTCTTAGCGCAGAGCTAACAAGAATTCGTACCGCACTTGACGCCATAGGTCATTGGTGGCCATTCTCCGAAAGAAACGTTTAAATTTCACCCTTCATGAGTGATACTTCCAAAAAAAGACTTGTCATTTGAATAGTGGCCACTAACACGGCGCGGTTAAACAACTTTAGTACACGATAGTTTGTGTTTAGGACGGTAGCGTCCTCATGGTCGGTACGTTTAAACAATCAACTTTGCGGTATGTTTGTACACAACACATCAGGATTAATTTAAGATCAGACCATGCGCTTAAAGGATGAAAGACTTAAATTTGGATTTTAAGATATTGAACGATATAATGCTTATTAATACTCTGCTCACATTTGACCACGTTGTTTTGATAAACACACGGTAAAATAAAACACTGCTGCTCGTTCGAATCCGCACCACTTATACGTATCGCGTTTATAAGACCCCAAGAGTGAATAAAAGGCTATAAGGCGTTAATATAAATAAACAATTTGTAGAACGATGCTATCTCTATCGCTCTGCGAAAAAGCTGTACTACTACAGCCTGTCTACAAGAAAAAAACGATGTTATTTTTTACCGCTAAAATTACCTACTTATCATCGAATGCTCAACCTCCACTCAATTATAGCCCTATATGTTCATAAAAAATTGCACATCAGAAATAACGGTAAAGTTACTTGAAAATTACGAGGGATTTCCCGAGAGTTTAAGCCGGAAAATGGGTCCTTTTTCTTCTACACTCTTAGAAAAAAGGGTACGGATAGTCCTCCCTTACGGGAGGAACGGTCTTGTAACCTATGTTCCTTTAGAAAGGGAGAAACCTTCGTCCCTGAAGCAGGGGAGCAAAGTTCCACCGTCGCTTGCATCTCAATATGGCGGCCCCGAATCGAGAAAATCGAGCCCAATAAGGCCTAACGAGGACGCTACGTCTCTTGTACGGGACGAGAACAGCAGCAAATAAAAGCGTAACACGAGCTTTCCGCAAACTGTGTTTATTTCCGAAGCCAGACTCCCCCCACAGGTACAGACACCTGCGTTTCGAAAGCAGTTACTCAGTCTTCTCGTCGACAGCACTGCGATGTTAAACGGAGACAACCGATACCTAGTTACTTCGCGCACTTTGCGTCTTACCTTTGGTGTTCCTCGAGTCACAATTCCTTCGTCAACCGCACATCACGGAGAAGGGCAAACTCACTCCGCGAAACCAAAAGCCGCTCTCGAAAGTACGAACTCGAAGCCGCTGCAGCCGCTGTTTATCGCGTAGCGTGATAGAAGGTTAAATCGCTAGCCACCAGATGGCGAGGTCAAGCAGAGTAATTGCAAGTAGCTAGGATAGGTGGCGCTAGGTACCGCCCAATTCATGTTCTACAAAAAATAATTTGCTTCTCTCAGGCCACTACTGTGCTTGAGGACCCTCTTCTATACACACATGACACCCATACACTTATTACAAGCATCAGGTGAACATACATTAAGCACATGCACTGCACACACAAACATCAATACAACGGAACACCACACTAACCCGAACACTACACCCGTGCTCTGCGTTTCCGTCTTTTATACTGGTCGTTTTGAACGTGCGGAACTTTTCGGTGACTCCCTAAGCAATAAAAAATATTCCCAGCATGTTGATTTTTTCCCTGCATTGTCATACCTCTGAGAGTATTTTGAATGGCTCAGGGGTTGAATCTCTTATTAAAAAGTAAACGCTCAATCATGCCGTAATTATTTGAACGCCAATAAATCAAGCCGCTCCAATGCGGTTCGAAGCCATGAGTTTGTTTCCCCACACGGCAAGTCGTAGCTTGTATTTCTATTTGTTTTTCTATTTGTGCTGTTCGCGCGAAGCTGCAATTGCCGTTTGAATTAATCTCTGTAGAGTGGATATTCAGTCAGCTGGAAGTGATGCTTCACGGACTGAGAAATTGCTTTTCGATCAACTTGAATGCAGTCAAAGCCGCGACTTGCGGCAGGTGTTAAGTGTACGGAACTACGCCGTGGCGAGCCCGAAAACTTCTAGCGCTCATCCCAGCGCGCCACGGAGGGCAGTTTCTCCAGCAACCGTAGTATAATTAAACAGCAAAATAAAGGGTAGCTTTTTTTTCGATTTTACCTACTATTGTTTTTAATGCCGAAATTCCATACTGTAAATATACGCACTTTACGTCACGCTTTCGTACTGTTCAGTCCTTGCCCCTGAGCGCAATCGCTGTCGGGGACGAGACAATTCCGACAGTCACATTGGCCACTGTACGGTAGGAGCTTCTACTGTTCAGACCAGCGTTCCAACATGACTATCCGCACGTTGATCGATTGCACGTGATCCCTCAAGTGGTATTAAACTTTTTAATGTAAAGCGGAATGTCAACCTGCGACACCCCGCCCCCTCCGATCACAACCCGACCAGCGGCATCAAAGCCCAACAGTTTACGATCTCATCTTCTTGTTACACCACTGATACGCGAACACATGGTCACATCGGCGATAATTCCAGTCTTCTGTTCACAACCCGAACACTGTCATCACGATGTTGCAGCTATGTTGCTGACACGCACAAACACAAAACCACGTTGAACGCCGGTTGCACTCGGCATCGGAAAACAGAACCGAACTCAGGGGGGAAGGCACCCAGGCAGCCGGCAGCAAAGCCTGCCTGTCTTGGACGCAGTTCCTGCAGTTTCCATAACGTCGAAAACCTCGACACAGTTCCGCGTGCTTTCGCTGCTGTAGTCTGTAGTGCTGCAGCCTGCAGTGGCTGTAGTTCCGTCGTTCCGTGCCGCGCGAGTCACGCAATCCGGAGACGGCCATCCCCCAATGTACGTGGCGCTGCTGGCACTGCTCCGGAACTTCGCTGTTTCTAGCGGCTTCGTTTGCTCGTTTGATAAAATTAGTGATAAAAACCTCAATGCAACCGAAATGTTCTGCACGTTTAAACTAGAAGATGGAATTACAGGCGGCCTTCGCTGCTACTGGAGCTCAATCAACTCAACAGCTATTTATGAAACAACGCGCGCGACCTGCTCGAAAAACGAAACCGAAAGACGATGAGTCGGGAGGGCGAAAGCTTTCTCCCGTCTGCCTGGAGAAGGAGAAAAACATTTCGTTCCTCCCCTTTTCTCGTGTCCGCTTGGGGGCGCGTCGGTAGAAGGGAGGAAGGCGCGCCGTTGCTACTTTTTTCCTCCATTTTTTCTTAGAGTGTAGATGACACCATTCTTCTCGACGTATCCTTGGCTTTATCGGACTCCATTTTCCTGTTAATAATGATTGACAAATTATTTATAATTTTGAGTAAACTAGTGAGACGTTTTCAAACTTTGACGTCTGATCCGGACCGCTGGCGCCACATTTGAGAAGAAGGCTGAGCGTTCGGTGATGCGAAGTTCGTTTTCTGGTGAACAAAGCGCTGTCAAAACGTTTTCTCGAGGGCAACGTTTAACAAATGGCTTTTCTTTACATCCAGAGCACACTTGTCATGACCATACCATAACTTTTTATGACGTTCAGGGTGGCTTTCTCAGGTGTTCTTTTTTGTCCCTATTTCATATCCAGGTGGTATTTTCATACCAAAAAACACTGGAATTCTTTACAACATCTACGCCATAAACCACGACACCCAGATCTGGGCAGACCCCGAGTTCTTCAGGCCGGAACGATTCCTGGACCCTGTCACGGGTAGAGTGAACCAGGAACTGCTGCCACAGATGATCACTTTCGGTCTGGGTCCCAGGACGTGCCCGGGAGAGAAGTTGGCGCACGCGGACATGTTCTACGTCCTTGTACGCTTCATGCAGCGAGTCAGCTGCAGTGCCCTGCCGGGAAAAGAAAAGACCGCCATAGAGGCTCTAGATTCCAACTTGTTTCTGATGCCAGCGAAACAAGACATAGTGTTGACCCGGCTTTACTAACCTCAGAAAACGTAAACCGTAAAAATGCTTGCACTGCGTGCCTTGTGTGTGTGTTTTTATGTTTTTTTTTTTTATTAACTTAGTTCAAGTCGAATAAAAACGTGCGAATTTTGTGTAATATATTGCAAACCGTCGTTCGAAATAAATGACACTTAGAAAACCTGAACGAGTTTTAAAACATATTCAGGAAGTGTATGTTGAGTTTTTGGCACCACTGTGACTAGTTTTCGATTACTTGAATAACGTCAGCAACGTGCATTTATGCACAGTTATTTAAATTATAACTCTCCGGCATTGCCTTCCATAAACAGGCTCATTCTTGCTGTCGACTTTTCTGTTGCTGCTTGTATTTGTCTTGATCAAGTCCCCTCCCATGTGAATAGGTCTTAAGAAGTATTTCTACCAATGCGAAAATATAAAACGAAAATAAATAAAGACTCATAACTCCACTCCAAACATACAGGAGGATTCTATGGCACATTACACATTGCAAGAAGGGTTGCACATCTTTCTGTTCGGACACACAAGCTTTAGGAGGGATCCCAACTTAAAAACTTCAAGGTATAATTAAATAAAAATGATCAACATGGGTTTAACTTGTAATAAAAACTACTAGGTAGTTAATATGTAAGCAGTCAGCACATAACGTCCGGAGGGTTCATATGAGCGTTTTGAGATATCCTGCCTGACGTCTCTACGAGCTGTTTTTTTGTGTTTCTCAATGTAATAAAATACAAACTTTAAAAACTTTACAAGCACTGTTCGCTGTTTTACCACCGATGAAACCACCAAGAAAGTAGGCAGTTTTTGTTGATAGTTTCAGCCTTCTCATAACTCTTTCGCCAAGCCCCTTTGAGATGCGAAACCACGGTACTTGGAAATTGTCTTAGAATACTGTGTTTACAGTCCTATTTCGCTCATGCATGAAAGGTTTTGGCAACAAACTGGGTCGAAGAAACCAGAGTGTCGTGCTGTCGTATGTCTGGATTCCGGCGGCTGCTCGATGAAAGGCTGGCGAAACAGAGGAGGAGACGCAGGAATCGCTGTCGTCACGGCGTCCCAGCTCGCGTCCACTTAGGCCCGCTTCAGGCGGGGCAACTTTTCCATCAATTTTGAGGTTGCTGGCGGGTTGTTCCCTAGCTTTCCCTAGATAGACGCGTATTGCTGAGATCGGGTCCGGTTCGAACAAGCGAGCAACTCGGAGCAATTCGAAGGCGGTTGAAGCGGCTGCAGCCAATCAGAGATGCGATATTTTCACGTGATACCCCTGTAGTGGTGATGATGACAGCTAAAGACTTAGTTCATGTTTGGAAAGAATCGTTTTCGGAAATAAACAGTTTCAGAAAAAGGAGTTAGTATTCTCAACGCCGTTCAAAGATATAAGAACTCATTTTTAGCCCTTAGCTGGGCGTCTAAATAGTTAAAGAATCAAATTTAATGATGATGATAGCAGGTCGGAGCAATTCGTTTGCTGCGTGTGAACGCGGGCGGCCGGTGTTGCTGGTGTTGCGACGTCCAATTGCTAGGTGAAATTGCTTTGTCTGAAGCGGGCCTTATGTTTCTATCGCCGGCCAAGCTGCAGAGCGACCTGCGGCAGAGCGGGAGTCTGCCACAACCACCCCTGCTGCTCTGCCGCCACCAAGATTGTTACAGGAAACATAGCGACACTTTTCTGACGTTTCTGGACGGAACTCGAGGGACCACTGTTGGGAATGCGGTGAACACACGGGAGGAAGACGTGCTCCAGCCACCATACCGCAACGTTGCAGACAAGGAAAGCGGCGCTCAGGGGTCGAAGCGCAGTTCGCGTTCCGTGGAGGGGAAAAAAGCGATATACGAAAACTCCCTAGTATTTTTCGAATTCCCTAGAAAGCTCTGGGTAGCCCATTCAATGCAGCTGGCGACGACATCTGTTGTCCAAGGCTGCGGACTCTTTCCGGTGTATTATCTCCGCCGTTGGGCGCTCGAGGGCATCCGACGTGCAACGTCATTTCTGGCGGGTCGCTCTTGTGGGGGCGTTGGTCGCTCCTGTGGCAGGATGTTCCGAGCGCCGACGCTCGCTGTACGTGTTTAGAAAGTACGTCTTAGGGATCGTTGAGGACAACGCTGCTCAATTACTCTGTCGTTTTTCATAGCTAGGGTTAATGCAAGTCCATATAAATGCGGAGGGCAAGTTCGTCTGCTTCTTGCGCAGGGGGTAGCGGTGACGTCAGAACGCCGAGCCCTGATTGGCTGATCGCGACCCCCTATCTCACCGTCGTCTGCTCCTTTGCAACGTCGTCCGCTCACAACGTCGTCTGCGTCTGTCTTACCTTTCCTGCGACTTTCGGAAGTGCAGAGGCCAGAATCACGAAATGATCTTGCGCCAAAAATGTGTGTAAGACAAAAAAACTTTAGAACAAATTCGTATTCACGAAACGAAATTTTCGTAAGTTTTGCGCAGGTTACGACGAAATCCTACGACAACTCCGAAGCCGTCTTACGCACTTCTTACGATCAAATCAGCATGGCCGACAGCGTCGCCGTCGCGACGACCCACGGACGTTTATTTTTCTACGTGCGCTTCTCACGCGTCCCGGCTTCAAGCAGCAAGAAAAAAAGCAAAAAGTACTTGAAACGGACCACTACGAACAAGAACGCTGGATCCACAAACTCCCGGGAAAAGCACCAACGGCCACGATTCCACCGAACGTGACCAAGCGAGCTTCGGCAGTTAGGCCTAGCAGGCACTCGGCGACCGTCTGCCCACGACCGGCTGGCGTGTTGAATGGAATATGCCCGCGCGACCCTTGTGAACCCTTCGCGTATTATACTTTGATCGCTGACCTCAATTTTAGATTAAGAGGTCAATTTCTTCCTCTTGTTATCTCCTTGTTTCCCGAGGCAACGATGACTCTCGTCGGTGAAAAAGCGGTGAATCTCCGACAGACGCAGGAAAGGTAAAGCAGCCATCGCTTTGAATAGCAGACGTAAAGCAGACGACGTTAACTGCGCCAACCCGCCGACGCCGTTAAAGAATGAGGGGTCTCGCCGCGCACGAAAGGAGGGAAAAAGGATTTGGGAGGGAACTTGCGGACACTACAACGCTCACCTCTCGGTTCTTAGCAAACAAACCTCGGCGCCTCGGGACACCTCGCCAGTGAGTCCTTTGACTTCCCTCCTTAATGCGCGTCTGCTAGTTAGACACAAACAACGTGCCGTTCGAGTTATTTCGCCTGCCCTCTCTGAAAGGCGAAGTCAAGCTCGCTCGTAAAGACCTGCACTTCCGAAAGTCGCAGGAAAGGTAAGACAGACGCAGACGACGTTGCGAGCAGACGACGTAGCAAAGGAGCAGACGACGGTCAGATAGGGGATCGCGATCAGCCAATCAGGGCTCGGCGTTGTGACGTCACCGCTACTTCCTTTCTCGTGCGCAGAAGACGAAAATGAGCCCACTTGCGAGGCGTATAGAATCTAATCTACGTGTTTGATAGTGTTTAATATATGTCGCTGTTACGAATGTTTTGTTTTCTGGGCAGCAGACGAAGGAAAGCGCCTTCTCTCACTGTAATTGCTTTTGGGATAGTTAACTTTTATTTTCTGATTATATTATGTTCCTGAGTATTTTTCTCCTTTGGCCTTGGAAGAATACTAGGTAGAGTTACATTTAATAGGTATTATATAATATTACCGAGCATCTGTTAGAATTATCTGTGGAAACAGTTTACAACAGACTACCGTTTGACGATATTATCTTATAAACCATTATAAATGTTAATTCAAATAAAGGTCTATGTAACGCCACTTGAAGTCTCAAATGAAAAATGCAGGGCAAGATCTCTTCAAGTATTTTAATTAAATACTAGTAAAACAAATGTATGCTCAGAAAAAAATACAACGCGTTTTGTTTCATCTAGCTGAATTAATATTGAAACTGACTCGTTTCCGTGCTCCTCATAAAGACCGTCATTCCATCAAACTGCATTCCTTTTAATGTCGCTTCCTGTAAGGTTCGTAATGGGGTTACCGGTTGCATATGACTTTGGTATTCTGCGCACAGGCGCACGCCAGCCATGGCCTGGAAGTACGCATGCTTGTGCGCTTAAAGACCTCGAAGAGGAGCGCGAAAGTGCCTATGCGATATGTGCGGACACACGGAGCTGGCATCCGATGCTGTTGTTTATTCGGAAGATATGCGTCTTGTTTGTAAATTTGGCCATAGATCTATGTTTGGGAATTTATGAAAAGTCGTTCGTAGTTTTTGCTGGTTTTTATTTTTTGGTGCGGAGAGCGTTCATTGAGGCGAGGACTAGGCTCAAGTAGGGAGATGAAATACAAAATGAGTAAAGAGGAATTTGTATTTGATCGTTCTACTCGTTCAATATAGGCTTCATTAAAATGCACTTTAGACGTTAGAATCGCTTCCGCATGTCACAACTATAAAAGATGTCGGCAAGTCAGAAATATGCATCGTGGTTGTTCATTATACAATTACTCTAGTACTGCAAAACGGTCTCGAGAATTAATGTCATTCATCGGATAATGAAATTTCAAGGCCATGAATGAGAATGATCAATGCACTTAACTCTACCGATACAATTCCTCTCTTTTATTAAATGAAACAATTTATCACTTTAACTGTATAGCGAAAAACTGTTTACGTAATAAAAATTAAAAAAAAGCTCTCGCGTGTTATGCCTACGCTGGCGTTCCTATAGTTTTTGTGTCTTACCCATTCTGTTGATGTGCCTTTTCTCATAAATGTTTCAATACTGAAAAAAAATATTTTTTTCACCCATAAAGGCGCCCTGAGCGTCTCTGGTATTATTCAAAAATTAGACATGGGCAATCTGATATTGATAACTCATAAAAGCACCTAGACACCGAATAAATACATTTAGCACCAGCAAGGTAGACATCTATAAACCCCCTCCCTATTTCACGCTCTCCAGATGCCCTCGCAAATCAATCATGCAGACGCTCCAATGATGACGCTCGATATATCGACCAACACACTTTTTACAAA